CCCCAACTCCCCTGCGACTCTCTTCCTGTTTCTTCCAGAATTCCAGTAACTAAGTTGTCAAAGAAGAAATCTGGAGTCCTCCACTCCCCGATGACGTTACAAAGGGTGCCACACGTTTCACAGGAAAGTTTGTTCCTTGAGCCAAAGCCTTATCTAGAAGAGGATGAAGGTGGAGTTGTAAAATGTTTCCCATTCCTTGCAATACCGGGTTATCTTGCAGCACACGTCCAAAACTCCAACAGGCTTGGAATTTAAGACCACTACCTACTGAGAAAGGAATGTTCCAGAAAGTGTAGGAAGCTGGAATCCTGCTCCCATCATGGCACCCTTTGCCAGGAACAGAAGTGGGCAGGGATTTTAAAAAGCAATTACACTACTACTCCAGTCCTCTGAAGATGCTGGCCACAGAGACTGGTGAGACGTCATGAAGAACAACCTTCAGAACACGGCCAAAGAGCCCGAAAAACCCACAACAACCATTAGATCCTGGCCGTGAAAGCCTTCGCGAATACAAGTCCAGGAAGTTCATACAAAATTTTACTCTGATTCAGTAGAGACCTTGTAAGATCCCGGCCGTGAAAGCCTCCGCAAATAGAAGTCCAAGAAGTTCATACAAAATTTTACTGTGATTCAGTAGAGACCTTGTGAGGACTGAGATAGGACCTCTTCATTTCATTTGGAAGCCAAGAATAAGATAATGTTTTAATGCAAAGGTGAAGTACCCCTCAGCCATGAGCCACATCCAGCTGACAAATATTACGTATCTAGTCCATCAACTCTGCTCTACACCCTGGCTTCCTCCCTAGGCAGGGAAAAGCAACTCCCTTCTTTAAATTTAGATTGCCTCTTTTTTAAATTTTAAAGCCACAGGGAGGGTTATCTTTGGCTCTGAGCTCCAGTGACAGAGAAGGCATACTCTTATGTTTGGGAGCAGAATTTTTTACTTTTGTTTTGTGTTTGTCTTTGCCAGCAGGCAAAGGGCTGAATGAGAGGGAGTGGAAGGGAAAAGCCATAATCCCTTTGTGAGGAGCTACACACTAGGAAATCTGGGGACATAATATGAGGGATGGAGTCCAGTGACAGAGAAGGCATACTCTTATGTTTGGGAGCAGAATTTTTTACTTTTGTTTTGTGTTTGTCTTTGCCAGCAGGCAAAGGGCTGAATGAGAGGGAGTGGAAGGGAAAAACCATAATCCCTTTGTGAGGAGCTACACACCAGGAAATCTGGGGACATAATGTGAGGGATGGAGTGGTAGGTACTGAGTTTTTCTTTCTGTGCATTCCAAACTAACAGCATCTTCCTATATTATAGGGTGGTCTGATCACCGCTGGGAGCACAAATAACGGTGGTTCTTATAGGCAGTTTGAGCAAAATAATTTATCAGGCAACCTCAAATCACCTCTACAAAACCATTAAGAAAGAGAAGCAGGTTGCTAAGTTAGTTAAAGACCAATTCTCCAGGTGACAATGCCCCTTCACACAAGCAGATCCCCACTAAGGGAAGGATTCATGTAACCATAACTAGACAAGCATTATTTTCATGATTCGTTAAGAGCAAATGGGAGCCTCTGTCTCCCAAGAAATAACAAAATCAGTGGTTGAAGGCGGAATAGCAGCTTCCCATTAGTTTCTATGGACAGAAAAGAGCAGATACGGATCAAATGGTTTTCAATGCATTCCTATGGGAAATGCAGATTTGACTTGAGAACTTTTTGACTTGAGAACCGCCTTCCAATACGGATTAAGTTCTCAAGTCAAGACCCCACTGTACTGAGTTTTTCCTTCTGTGCGTTCCAAACTAACAGCATCTTCCTAAATTATAGGGTGGTCTGATCACTGCTGGGAGCACAAATAACGGTGGTTCTTATAGGCAGTTTGAGCAAAATAATTTATCAGGCAACCTCAAATCACCTCTACAAAACCACTAAGAAAAAGAAGCAGGTTGCTAAGGTAGTTAAAGACCAATTCTCCAGGTGACAATGCCCCTTCACACAAGCAGATCCCCACTAAGGAAAGGATTCGTGTAACCATAACTAGACAAGCATTATTTTCATGATTCGCTAAGAGCAAATGGGAGCCTCTGTCTCCCAAGAAATAACAGAATCACCGCCCTCCCAAAAGTCAGATGGGGGACTAAAAGGCAAAAAAATCTGCAGAGGCCTGCCTTTTTCATCTGCGCTTTAACCAGATAGAAGCCCAGTTTCTGAGATGGCAGCCATTACTTTAAGCAAGACAGCTCAGTCATTTAGGAATGGCTGAGAGTTCAATTCCCCGCTGCGTTTTTCAAGGAGAAAAGTCAGCCTGTGTGGCCTTGGGCAAGCTGCACAGTCCCAGGACACCCCCAGAAAGAGAGAAGGCTAAACCACTTCTGAGCATTCGCTACCTAGAAAACCCTGAAAAGAGTCACCCTAAGTCAGGATTGGAAGGACAGATCCTGAAGCTGAGGCTCCAATGCTTTGGCCATCTCATGAGAAGAGAAGACTCCCTGGAAAAGGCCCTGATGTTGGGAAAGCATGAAGGCAAGAGGAGAAGGGGATGACAGAGGATGAGATGGCTGGACAGTGTCAATGAAGCGACCAACATGAAGCTGACCCAACTCCGGGAGGCAGTGGAAGACAGGAGGGCCTGGCGTGCTCTGGTCCATGGGGTCACGAAGAGTCGACACAATTTAACCACTAAACAACAACAACAACAGCAAATCAGAATTGACTTGATAGCACATGATGATGATGAGTGATGGTGATGATGATCAGAGTGCAGGTGCTCAGTTTGGCGCTGTTCCTCACTAGGAGGGGCTCTTAGTAGCACCCCAGAATTGAGACATTATAGAAACAGGTGCAGTTGAACAACAGTTCCCAGAAATCTTGATGACTCATCATAAGGGTTCCTGAAATATCTTACAGAACCACAAAGAAATGCAAGCGTTTCCCTGGACAACTGAAGTGGTGCTTAGTCAGCTGGAGGGGTTTCTAAGGTGCTGCGATGATGCCGCTGAAAAAAAGACAATAAGGTGCCTTGCCACCAGGAATCTAGGTTCGAACATAAGATGCAAGACTGAAGAATAACATAAGAACAGCCCTAAAAGACTTACAAGGGTGCTGTAGCAATACACTCTCTTCCTCCTTACAAGTAGCCAGGAGGATATATTACTTACTGGCTTTGATGATTTTTGTCACTAAGGCAAAGACAATAATAACCCAGCACTAGATGTATAAGCAAGGCAGCCAGCTCCTATCCCAATGGGGTTGATAAGAAGAAGGAATAATTCATTAAAATAAAAAATCATGAGTACTGGACTCATGATCACACCCTGAACCAAAGATTAGTTCTGGGAAACAAGATATGATTTGGCAAAACTGTGCCTGGACAGGACAGGATGCAACGGAACAGGAATGCAACAGGAGCTCACCGAAGTGTGCGTTTTTTACATACACAAAAAGTATATCAAAAGTTTGATTCCTTGGAGAAGAGTTCTAACACAACGTGTTCTTTACAAGCTCTGTTCCTAAGAGCAGAACATAGAGGTTTTTTTCCCCCTCTAAACTGAGGATCATTTTATCAAGTGGGCCCTGCTTGAAACAGTTAAGCTTGCCACCTTATCTAGGAGGAAAACATCTCAATCATCTGGTATCTTCAGGTAAGTTATGTTCATACACTTTTCCTATCTCATGATAAAGACAATGAATAGCACCTATATTTCTTGGACGACAGAGAGAACACCAGTGTAGTTATATTGCAATAAATATTAATACTTCCTACGACAGTGTATATGTTTTGAGGCATTTTGAAACAACTGAAGGCAGTTGGGAGGAACAACTATACTGAAAAGGTTTAATAAATGCATATTCTAAAACAAGGTTTTAGAAGATGCTATCTGAATGTCCACCAAACAACACTCAATTGTAGCCATTTGATATGATATACAACTGAAGGTTTAAAAATCCACATCGATAAATTAATATTAAGTTAGACTCTTGGGTGCCAATTTAAAAAATAAAACAATCACACGCACACAATGGAATTGTCTTCAGCACACTGTGCCTTCTCTGTGGGTATAAAATTAATTCTCTCTAAGGTAAAAGCTACAAGAACTTTCTACATAAGTAAGTCCTCACCAAGCTTAATGGAATTTACCGTAATGTAAATCTGCAGCTAAAACATGGAAACATGATAAATTGCATTGCTCCATTCAGGAGCTTTCTAGCAATGATGTGAGGGGAAAAAATCTGCCAGTGCCTGATATACGACAGTATTCTGGAAAGTGTGAGGTACAAATGGAAAAACTTTATTTAGCCTCTTCAGAAGGGGGCAGGGGGCTTCTAGGCTAACCTTTGCAAAAAAAAAAAAATTAATAAAAACATCTCTGCTCTTCTTCTCAATGAACTTTAAGGGGAGAGAGTAAAGAGAGAGCCTCTTGTCACAAAAAGTCATTTCCTGTCCCGAAAGAATCCCACATAAAAAGTGATCCTCTTAGAGGCAGCCCCCCCCTCCACCGGCTTTCCATGTCCTTCTTTCAAAGCCAGCCCTGACGGCCTCATTTAGCGTCAGGTTCTCAGCGTGCGCTGCTGGCGGCATCAGCCACACACACAGCTGTGATTCCGTAAGCGCTGCTAAGTATGCTATCTTCTCAATCCTAGCTCAAACCCTTAACTACTGAACAAATAGCAAATATGCATATTAATGTTTAAATACATGAATATATTAATGGCACAGAAAGAGAAATGTGGTCATGATGAGCAAAGGGAGGCATATCAAAGATATTTTCAATATAAAACTCTTCTTCTTCTTTTTTCAAAGACCCCTCTCCATTCATCATGTGTTGATGCTCTACTCAAATCTCACCTGCTCTTTGGGATACCGTGTCTCTCTGGCTCTTCACCACAAAAAAAATAAAGATGCTTTGCTCCATTTAAAAAATAATAACACCAATAACAATACACATACACTCAACCCTGTGACTTCATCCCCCCCACTCCAAAAAGAGAAAACGATTCCTTACCTTCTACTTCTTCATCGTCGCAGACATGCTTAAGGAAGGAGGCCCCCCTGTCCAGGACCGCCTCATCCTCCATCCTGTAGTAGTAGAAAAGAAAGAAAGAGTGTTCAGACTTTTCCTGGAGGGACCCACTTGAACTGGCCCAGCTCCTGGGCAGGTTAACTTGCAGGCTATTGTTCATGTTACGAGAGAGTAGAGTCTCTTTTCACTCTGGGCTTGCCACTCCTTCATGCAGCTTTTCGGTGGTACTTCGCTCTCAACCCCGGGAGGGCATTGCTGTAAAAGCAGGTTGGGGGGGGCGTTGGGGAATTAGTCGCTGCGGACAGCAATCTTTTCTTTTTAATTAAAGAGGAAGAGGAGTCGAGAGAGACGCAAGTAGCATTCACGTCAAAGATCTCCTGTGAGGTCTCTGTCCACAGAAAGGTCTGTAGAAGGAGATGAGTAGATGATGATGACAGATGCATGCAAACATCCTGAAAAGACAGAAGCTGCCCAGACTCCAGCTAGCCTCTTAATACCAGCAAAGCAGACTTCTTCACTGTGAGGCAAAGCTGCGTGTCACATGTTGGCCTTACGGAAATCTGACATCTGAGGATTATCCAGAGACCAAGCTGCAAGTCAGGCCATCACAGAAACAGGCTTATTTGCATATTTCGTACAGTCATTCATATATCACGCTCCTCACCACCTTCCCTCCCTCATCCATTCCTCCCAGGTCTTGCAATAAATTGCAAGTAAAACTGCAGCACTTAATGTACTCAATGCATTGATTTGTGGGAGGAAAAGAAATCGGTTGTCTAAAAATGGCATTATAATAGGACAGTAACAACCATTAGATAACACAACGGAAAAGAATATCAGCTTTTCGAAACAGTTAATTAGCTGCTCATTCCAAAAAGCATATAAAAGTTTAGATAAATGCAGAATCTCTAAGGTTCAACCCATAAACATTTAGCACACCAATACATTTAAGGGTATACTATCCATTAACAGTCCAACTAACAATAAAGGGTGCACACACACAAAAAAGATCAACAGTTGCAACTAAACATGATACACCTAATTGCAGAACTTCTTTTTCCTCAGCAGTCATTTTCAAAAGAAATCTAGGCCAAGTCACATGAGCCTCTCCTAAACAACAGACTCAGTCAATGAAAATCCAGCTAAAAGTGCCGTTTCTGTCAACACTACCCTTCTGACAGTAGAGAAGGATAATCCTTAAAACTATCCTTCTCACTCTAGCCCAAAGAAAGCAAGTATCTCTCTCCATAAGGGACAGTCTCAAACCCATGCTCTAGTTTTAGAGCAAGATCAATCTGATACTAGCGACCCATACTGTTAGCCCTCAAAAGGAGTTACCATCAAGTCTTTACCTGAGCATGGATCAAATCTAAGACATTCATATGCACAAACATGGGTTCTACAAATGAGGTCCTGTTTATAGTCTACATGGTGACCTATCTCAGAGCTAAGTGGGGAACTAACTGTACTTCAACAGGTTCCCTAGGCATGACTTCTAGCCCTATAGGAAGGACACCAATTCCAACCATAAGACTAAGGCAGACAAAGTCAAAGGCTACACAAAGGCTAATGGAAAAATCAAGAAAAGGCCTCGTGGTCTTGGTTTCCCCAACTGAAGACAAACTCTTCGAGTTTCACAAAGACAGAAAAGGAGAAGGAGAGGTGGCCCGGATTGTCTGCGACTATCCTCTGTTTTAACAGATGGGCCATAAATTGCGAACTGCTAGCTGACAAGGAACTGGAAATCAACATAAGTCTGGAACTACCCACATGAACTTGATGTACAGCCTTGCAGAAGGTGACACATAATCAGAAGCTCAGTTTGTTTTTTGTTTTATATTCAATAAAAGGTACCATCTGCTCCTACAAATGCCGATGTAAATGAACATCACCGCATCCTTATCTCTCTGCCCTCTCCCTCCATTCTTGACCTATCAAATATTCCTTCTTCCTGTGCCTGGGGTTCCCCCCTTTTTCCCCTCATCTTCCTTTGCACGGGCTCACTTCTCTCCTCTAGCACTTCCTCTGTGTCATGGCCAAACCACTCTCAATGCCTGTGCTTTGTGTCTCCATGTGTCCTACCTACAGCCTGTTCTTTGTGCCTCTACATCTTTGGCACTCTACCTTCTGTCTCTCTGTCTCTCTACAATCGCTTATGGTACTATCATGTCCAACACAGCAACCAATGGCATACAGCCAAACAGATTTAAACCACAGGGAGATCAAAGAACGCCAAGAACAAACACAAAGTAAATGGCAAAGAGAAAGGCAGCCCTAAACCAACAAAGCTGGGCTAGCAGCGAGTGGCAAGAACAGCCAAAAATGTGTATTTATTATTATTTAGTTATTTTATCTTGATACCACACCATCTAATGTGTTTGCCACTGCGCAGCGCGGTTTCCAGCAATAAACATATTGCCTCAATATCTTTCCCTTCTATTTGCCAGGAGGTGATGGGACCAGCGGTCATGATCTTAGTTTTTTTCATGTTGAGCTTCAGACCATTTTTGACACTCTCCTCTTTCACACTCATTAAGAGATACTTTAATTCCTCCTCACTTTCTGCCATTACAGTCATATCATCTGCATATCGGAGGTTGTTGATATTTCTTCCAGCAATCTTAATTCCGGCTTGGGATTCATCCAGTCCAGCCTTTCGCATGATGTATTCTGCATGTAAGTTAAATAAGCAGCCTTGTCGTACTCCTTTCCCAATTTTTAACCATAACCAGTTGCTTCCTGTCCCACGTATAGGTTTCTCAGGAGATAGACAAGGTGGTCAGGCATTCCCATTTCTTTAAGGACTTGCCATAGTTTGTTGTGGTCCACACAGTCAAAGGCTTTTGCATAGTCAATGATGCAGAAGTAGATGTTTCTCTGGAACTCTCTGGCTTTCTCCATAATACAGTGCATATTAGCAATTTGGTCTCCAGTTCCTCTGCCCTGTCGAAATCCAGCTTGTACTTCTGGGATTTTTCAGTCCACATACTGCTGAAGACTACCTTGGAGAATTTTCAGGTAGATGTTTCTCTGGAACTCTCTGGCTTTCTCCATAATACAGTGCATATTAGCAATTTGGTCTCCAGTTCCTCTGCCCTGTCGAAATCCAGCTTGTACTTCTGGGATTTTTCAGTCCACATACTGCTGAAGACTACCTTGGAG